GTGCAGATTTTGTTCAGTAACATGTATGTTCTTTTTTTGCAGTTGTCATGTTACACAAGAAGTGCTCTGCGAAATTAAGATTACCATCAATATTTTAGAAAAAAATATTTTAATTGCATTTCTCTGGCATAATCCAAACACATGCAGTTGGTGTAGATAGGTTAACTGGTAACTCTAAACTGCACATAGGGATAGGCTCCACCCCCCGTGACCCACATAAGGATCACGGGAGGTGGTGAAAATAAATGGTAATTCCAGGAGGTAAAACTCTTTGGTCAGTTTGTATTTGGATAAAGTAGTGAGTGAAATTATTTGTCTGCACCTTGTGTTTGTACCCAAACGCAGACACTCGAGGCAGGAACGGCCGTTTATTTAGGCTGCACGAAAAATACAAACAAAAGGCAGAAGAACAAGGACCAGAACAACACTGTGAGAACTGAAATACTAAACACTACGGACGTAGAACCTTAAGCATCGAAAAACCTGAACATGACCCGAAATGAACAGCGCCCCCCATGTGTGGCAGCATGTTACAGCAGCTCTGCTCATTTCTGAGCTTCTTACTTATTTCCCCTTTATTTTCTCGTAACTTTTAAATTAAGTCTTAGAAATGTCTCTCTTATGTGCAATACTACTAAATGTAATGTGCAATATTGTGCAATACTGTCCGATGTAACATAGTATGTTATTCTATTTTATCTCATTCTATTCTATTGTTTTTCTTAATTTTTGCTGCTTGTAACTTTTTTTTGTGACCCAAAAAATTTCCCACAATAACACCTTACACTACGCTACACTACAATACACTACACTACGCTACACTACACTACGATACGCTACACTACACTACGATACACTATGCTACACTACACTACGCTACACTACGATATGCTACGCTACACTACGCTATGCTACACTACGCTATGCTACACTACACTACGCTACACTACACTACGCTACACTATGCTACGCTACGCTACACTACACTATGCTACACTATGCTACACTACGCTACATTACGTTACACTACATTACACTACGCTACGCTACACTACGATACGCTACGCTACACTACGCTATGCTACACTATGCTACACTATGCTACGCTACGCTACACTATGCTACACTACACTACACTATGCTACGCTACACTACGGTACGCTACATTACGCTACACTACACTACACTATGCTACACTACACTATGCTACACTACGCTACATTACGCTACACTACGCTACATTACGCTACACTACGCTACGCTACACTACGCTACACTACACTACATTACGCTACGCTACACTACGCTACGCTACACTACGCTACACTACACTATGCTACACTACGCTACACTACACTACGCTACACTACACTACGCTACGCTACACTACACTACGCTACACTACACTACGCTACACTATGCTACACATGAGGGTCATTAGAAGAAGCGGAAACAGACGGGAACACAGCTGGGATGAATCAGACATAATGACACAGTGGAAGCAAAACTAGACACCCTGAACCTGGGACGAGCGACTGTCAAAATAAAACAGGAAACACACTAAGATGCAGGCTAAGACATGCGGGCTTGACCTAGGGACCGGGGGGAAGAAACTGAGGAAGGGAGACACACACAAAGGGTGAGGAGACGGAGACACAAATATGACTACAGACTCACACAAGCACCACAGGGATGAGACAAGGACACGAGAGGAATTTCACATACAGGAAACCATGAACTGGAAATATAAGCAAACTCATTAAAATCTCAAGAACACAATAAACTCAAAATGCTGACAGTTTCCCTGCCATCAAGTTTGTTAGCGTCCACTGCAATGAAAGCAGTATTTAGCATTTTAGAGAACACACTTAGTGTATTGACACTGGGTCATCACACCAGACTGGTAAAAATGTTTGTCAGCTGTCCTGGTGCTGGGATTAGCACTAGAGTTCGCTGGCTTGTGA